TGGTGGGGGAGCAGGAGGGAGGGGTGGGGGAATCAGAGGAATGGTGGGGGATATGGAGAGGAGAAGGAAACCCACCTGGATCCATCCCGGACACGGAGCCGTTCCCTTCCCAAACACGGCACCCATTCCATAGGGAAGGCTCCTGGGGGGTCTCCAGAGGTCCTTGGATCCATGTGCTCCCTAATTAACACCTGGTCTCTAATTAGGGTGGTGGGGGAGTCAGAGGAACAGGGTGGGGGGGGAGACAGAAAATCCCGCGTTGTCCGGTGGATCCGTTCCCTTCCCAAACTCGGCACCCATTCCATAGGGAAGGCTCCTGGGGGGTCTCTCCAGAGGTCTCTGGATCCCTAATTAAAGCCCAGGGTTAATTAGGGTGGTGGGGGAGCAGGAGGGAGGGGTGGGGGAGTCAGAGGAACCAGTGGGGGGAGATGGAGGAGATGGAGAGGAGAAGGAAACCCACCCGGATCCATCCCGGACACGGAGCCGTTCCCTTCCCAAACACGGCACCCATTCCATAGGGAAGGCTCCTGGTGGATCTCTCCAGAGGTCTCTTGATCCCTAATTAATGCCCAGGGTTAATTAGGGTGGTGGGGGAGGGGTGGGGGAGTCAGAGGAACGGGGGGGAGGCAGAAACTCCCGCGTTGTCCGGTGGAGCCATTCCCTTCCCAAACACGGCACCCATTCCAGCGGGAAAGCTCCTGGTGTGTCTCCAGATCCCTCTGGATCCCCCTTTTCCATCTTTTCCCTCCCCAACCCCCCCCCTGTTTGTCCCTGTTTGTTCCTGCAGGTGCACAGTAGGTGGATCACCATGAGCGGGCTGGGCGACAGCTCCGCCGACCCCGCCAATCCCGAGTCGCGCAAGCGGAAAGGCTCCCCCTGCGACGCGGCCCAGAGGTATTCCCGCCTCCCAGCCCTTCCCAATCCCGGGCCCAGAGGTATTCCCGCCTCCCAGCCCTTCCCAATCCCGGGCCCAGAGGTATTCCCGCCTCCCAGCCCTTCCCAATCCCGGGCCCAGAGGTATTCCCGCCTCCCAGCCCTTCCCAATCCCGGGCCCAGAGGTATTCCCGCCTCCCAGCCCTTCCCAATCCCGGGCCCAGAGGTATTCCCGCCTGCCAGCCCTTCCCAATCCCCGCCCTCGGCAATTCCAGAGCCTCCTTTCCGCCCGGGGCCGGCAGGGGAGGATCCGGCGGGATTGGGGGGCTCCTCATCCCGATAAAAGTGGGGGGTGGTTTCGGGTGGGGGAGGAGACTCCTGGCACAGATTCCCAAGGAATCCTTGAGTGGGAATTCCATATTCCAGACTCTTGCTGGGGGTGTGTGTGGGGGGGATTGGGGAACTCGAGGGGTTGTACCTGAAATCCCTGGATCGTTCCCAGGGGCTTTCCCAACTAACTTAGGGAAAGAATTCCAAGGTAAAGGCAGCTCTCACCTCCTTCCACGGGCTTTTCCAGGCTCCCTGGGAATCTTTTTTTCCCCCTGGAGTTTGTTGGGAAGGACGAACCTTTTTCTCCTTTTTTTTTTTTATTTGTTTTATTCCCCGAGTCCCAGCTCTTATCCCAGAGCTGATCCTTATCCCAGAGCTGGGCTGGAATTCCCAGGGAAGCTGTGGCTGCCCCTGGATGATCCCTGCAGTGTCCCAGGCCGGGTTGGATCCCCTGGGACAGCGGGAATTGTCCCTGAACATGGAATGGGATGATCCTGAAAATCCCTTCCCACCCAAACCATTCCATGACTCAGGACACTCAGAATCCTTTCAGAGGGGTTTTTACGGAATGTGGGGATGGAAAAGGCGGGAAAGGGGAAGGGAGCCCCTTCCCTGAGTGCCGAGATTCCCAGGGAACCCCCCCTTGTTCCCGGAACTCCTTCCCAGAGAGGAGTTGGGCTGGGGATGGATCCAATGTCAGGCTCTGGCTCCAGGCTGGGAGAGCTGGGAATGGCCAGGACCTTCCCACCCTTTTCCCCCTGGGAATGTTCCACCCCTGCTTTTGCAGCTCCTGGGGATCCTTCTGGGAATGTTTTCCTGGTGCTCCCCTGGCAGGAAAACCATCCCGTTCTCTCCCTCTTCCCACCCTCTGGAAGTTGCCACAGCAACGGAGACACTCCGGGTTTTTCACGGAATGAGGGAGAGGGGGTGGGGTTTTTGGGTTTTTTTTGGGATTCTCTCCCCTCCTCCTCCCCCCCTTCCTTTGCCGGGAGAGGGATTCATTCCCATTTTTCCCCAGATTCCCTTGGGAATCCCCCCCTTCCCATGGCTGGATCCTGGGGGGGCTTCCGGTCCTTTTTTCCAGGTTTTTTGCTTCCCAGGGATTTGAGGGCTCCTGGATCCGCCTGATCCCACTCCAAGGGGGGGGGGGGGTTCTGGGATATCCCCCACGGAGGGACTCATGGAATTCTTGGAATGGGCGGTCCAGGCGGGAATAGTTTGGGTTTCCCAGGGTTTTGTTTCTCTCTTTTGGGATTTGAAGGGAATTATCCAGACACATCCCAAAACAAGACATAAATGGGATATTTGGGATATTATCAGGACACATCCCAAAACAAGACACATCCCAAACTAAAACCCCAAACCAGAGATTTGGGATTTATCAGGACACATCCCAAAACAAGGCACAAATGGGATATTTGGGATATTATCCAGACCCATCCCAAAATAAGACATAAATCAGATATTTGGGATTTATCAGGATACATCCCAAAAGAGGACACAAATGAGATATTTGGGATATTATCCAGACACATCCCAAAACAAGACATAAATGGGATATTTAGGATATTATCCAGACACATCCCAAAATAAGACATAAATGGGATATTTGGGATATTATCCAGACACATCCCAAAATAAGACATAAATGGGATATTTGGGATATTATCCAGACACATCCCAAAATAAGACATAAATGGGATATTTGGGATATTTTCAGGATACATCCCAAACTACGACATAAATCAGATATTTGGGATTTATCAGGACACATCCCAAAACAAGACATAAATGGGATATTTGGGATATTATCCAGACACATCCCAAAACAAGACACATCCCAAACTAAAACCCCAAACCAGAGATTTGGGATTTATCGGGATACATCCCAAAACAAGGCACAAATGGGATATTTGGGATATTATCCAGACACATCCCAAAACAAGACATAAATCAGATATTTGGGATTTATCAGGACACATCCCAAAAGAGGACACAAATGAGATATTTGGGATATTATCCATACACATCCCAAGATAAGACCCGAACCAGATATTTGGGATATTATCCAGACACATCCCAAAACAAGACATAAAT